AATGGTGAGGCCTTTTGCTGGCTAATGGCTTTGGTTATTTCTGGCTGGCAGCAAACTTGGCAAAGTCTCTCAAGGCTACACCAACAGGAAATTGCATTTACCCAGAGGAACTGGGCTGAAGTCATTCACTCCTTTTTTTGTATTCAAGGTTTCACCTGGGTTTCAGCGGACCACCTCGGCCGTCCTGGGAGAGAAGCAGAGGAGTGGGAGGCCCCGGGGCCGACAGAAACCTCCTCTCCATGTGCTCCCTAATTAGTTTAATGACCATAATTATCTGCTGGGGTGCATGTTGTGCAGAGGACGATTAATGGCCTCCAAAACATATGCAGACAGGCGGAAATGAAGAGAGGGCGGCGCTGAGACAAAGAGTAGCTTTGCTGAAAAAAAAGAGAAGCCATAAAGTTGCAGAAAGAGACGCATCATGCTGGGTAAGAGAAACAGAATAATGAGACAGCGTTTTTTCTCTCTTCTTTATGGGAAATCTGTTGCTTTTAAAATGTCACATTAACTTCCAAAGCTTGGTTCTTCTTTTGATCGAGAAAAAAAGTATATTTAATCCGATGTAATCTGAGGCACATATGTGGACTGATGCAGGAAATACCACCCATGCAGTTACAAGGTTAAAGTGAACGCTCCAGAACACATCCATATACAGGAACCACCACAGTAATTGAAAGCTTATTGGCTTAAGTAGAAGTACCAATGATGTACTCTACACACTGGCTCCAAAAGATCTATTCATTCTCATTAAAATAAACTTTAGCTTTTGAGTTGAAATACACTCTTGGTTTTTCCCCACAAATGATGTTCATGTTCGAGAATGTTACACTTGGGCTGAACCTAATTCTATAGAATTTGTTGACATTATCAAAATCATAATTTAGTCCAAAAGATATTCAATTCCTAAACCCCGGGGGATTAACTATTACTATCACATAAAACAGCAAACCTTCGCAAAAGAGAAACTAGAACACCTTTACTTTTATTAATTCATCATGACTATGGATTATTTTTGTTCAAATGAATATGCCATATCTGTATGAGTTTATATAGCCATGTTATTTTATTTGTACTTTAGTCTTGTTTATTAATCTTGTTTTATTATTATTTATCACTCAATCACCTCTTCCTTTGTTTTTTTATCTTCTGAGCTGCTGTAAAAAGTACATTTCCCCCAATGTGGTATCACTCAAGTTCTTATCTTATCTTATTTCAACATTCTTCGCCCGGCGATACTCTACTCTGTACAACACCAGGCCACAATCCTGTTTATACAGTATGCAGTTTAATCTGACCTGTATATATATATATATATATATATATATATATATATAAAAATACTGTGCAAGAAACTGTACGTGTGTTATTGTTAAAGCTTATTTCTGTACCAACATACATGAACATAATAGCCATATGTTTATGTTTGTTTATCTTCATTTAGCCATGTGTCTATTTCTGTGTCTTCCTACATTTATTTTCTCTGTACGCATATTAACAGCTACTGACAATTCCTTGTATGTGTGCACATGTTTGACCAGTATTTGACTCTGGTGTTTAGGGTATATGTCTTTCTAAATGACGGATGTCTCAGCCAATCAGAGCACTAGCCACTCAACCTACTCCACTGGTCCACCCAGTGCTTCCTCTCCTTCCATCAAAATGTAGATTTTCTGGCTTGCATAGACCACATAGTGAACTTATAATTTATGGTACTTTTTTTGGTATAATTTTGTACTAAATTCTGGTTTTAATTCTGTCAAATTCGTTTTTTAGCTCTTATTAGCCTATAATGTCAAACCATTTTGTCTTCATTTCTAGTCTTTTATAACGTCATCCTAGAGACGATAAGTTATGCTTGGAATGTTATTCTTATTTTATTAAAAAACAACAAATACAATAAGAAAAAATCTAATCCCTAATAAAAAGTGAAACAAAAAATATATATAATCAAGAAAGTTGTTGCTGAAGACTGGCTTGTACAGAACTTAATACAACTGTATCGGCTAAAATGCCACAATGTGACCTTTTTAATGACTAATTAGCACTGTCAACCCAGCTACCATAGAGATTTTAGAAAAATCGTTTTAGGGTTATTTTAGGCTGATATTGGTGTGGTAAGTTAACACTCAGCTTGGGATGTTTTGTCTCTAAAGAGTAAAACTGAACTTAGCTGATGCAGAATGATTATTTTGATTTCTCGACATGACTCGAACGGCAGCACCAAAGACTTGATAGGCCCTTGTAAAGACGGAGCTGTGAGAATCCTAATGTGTTGAGTGACATCAGCTGTGCCTTTTGCCGGAATATGGAGTGAATTAGGCCGGCGTTTCAAAATATACAAAGAGTCTGCAGAAAGACAAGGCTTATGTCAACAGCGGCTTGTGTTTCCGCTCTGCTCTCCCCCGCATGTCGCCTGCTGCTAACATCAAACAGATCTCAGCAGCACGGTTTGGGAAAATGCTAGATGCTGGTAATAATTATCTGCTCCTCACCATGTAATTAAATAAGTTTATTAAAGCACTTAGTTCCAGCAGCTCGGTTTATTTTTACGTGGATTAAACCTGAAGAGAAGCTTTGGCATTATTCAAAGTGTAATCTTGGATCAGGACGTATACAATCTTTTAGTTGAGCAGTGAAAGCAGCACAAGTGAGGGAGCATGGAGGAGAATAATCTGCACAACCCTGGAGTGCTGGGGAGAGAAAGAGCAACGGAAAGACGCAGGAAGACCAATATAGACAGAAATTGGAGGATGTGTTTTCTGGTCAGGAACCCATTGCTAAAATTAGCGAGGATGTAAATTCCTCAGCGTAGCCGGTTTTTGAATATGCGCATGACACTGAGAGGAGCTGCCAGGAGAACATAAAACAACAAAAAAATAAAAGTGGAAAGGCGGCGGTATAGGGAGAGGTCATACATGAACCCAAATGTTTTCCTTCTTCCTTATTCCTTTTTAAATTGACCTTCGCCCTGAGAACAAAGACATCTAACACGCCACAAGGAGGAGAAAAAAGCTCTGAAAAGCAAAAGCCGCCACACACAACAGTCGACGGGGGGAGGCTCGGGCTGTGGACGCCAAGCCTTCAACACAATCACCACACATGCTATTGTGGCTTGCAGTAAAGCCCTGGTATGGCTCAAATCTCCAGCTAACCCCCTCCACCCCATACCCTCACCACCAGGCCTCACCCCCCCTCCTCCACACTTTCTCTGTCTCTCCATGAGTCCCTGTCATTTACAGTCCTAATGACAAGACACAAACATCCACACATTCAACCCCCACCGAGCGAGGATAATCACGTTACAGCCGACGACAGGGACATAAACCAAACCCCTCCTGCAGTAACTTTGGATACACTCAGACGTGGATTTGCATAAATCCAAACAGCACAGTCGGCAGGCCAACTGTGTGGCTCTGTACCTCTTTTTCCATCGTGGATGGAAGAGAGACAAATCCACCACGCTGCGAAACACTGAGGGAATGCATGGATGGAGATGGAAAATAGGGGAAGACTTTCTCAGTTTACAGTCGCCACACAAAGCCAGGACTATTTCTAGGCGTCCTATTGGTTTAACACAGGCAAGAATACACAGCCGGGCTGCAAGTCAAGGACAAAGACTCATAGGGACTGAGTGTCAGATTCAAGTTCTCATGCCCTGGCTGCGTTGCCCTGCTCCTTGCTACTTCTCTGTTGACCCGCAGACTTATTCAATACCTAAATATTGACATTGCTCTTTCTTGTGTGTGCCTGTTATCTTAGGAATGCATTTACGGCTTTGTCGCTTGCATCAATCAACTAAAGCTGATAATTTTCTAAATGTGAGGCGCCAGGGACTTCCCTGCCATTGCAGGGTCAGAGTAAGTGAGATAAGGAAAAGCGGATGCTTCAAGGTGAAGCACAAAATGAGCCTGCATGGGGCATGTTAGGACTTGAATTCTCTGGCTTAAACATTTACATTACATGGAATGGTGGAATGTAACTTATTACATTTAGCTAAATGTAGGCTTATGGCTCTGCTGGAACTGCTACCCCCGCGACCCGACCACGGATAAGCGGGAGAAGATGGATGGATGGATGGATGGATGTAGGCTAATGTTAGTAGGCCTATGTGTAGGCCTATATCATTCCAGTTTATACTATATATTTTGCCTCAACTACATTTTAACCATTAAAGAGGGTTTCATCCATCCGATTCTAGATATAGATATAGATATAGATATATAGAGGATTCTTTTTGTTATATTTACATCAGTACATTTTTCTTAAATTAAAGTTACTTTTCGAAGATATAGATTATTAACACAACATTCAATCAACTAATAGGCTAATAGATGATGATGTTTAGGTTCAATATTACACTACTGAGCAGTATTAAATTAGCTCCACCTTTATAAACGGCAAAAATTAAATTATTTTAATTTGTAAAAATTGATATAGGCATATTTATAGTTATCTGCCAAACTTTTACTTTCGGAATAAGAAAAGTTAAATGCCAGTATTTCTTCACTTTTACTTAAATACTGTAACAATTTCAAAGCAGGACTTTCAAGTCATTTTTAACAGTATTTACACAATATGGTAACCTTACTTTTAATCCCCTCTACTGAAAAACATATTTGTATGTTAATGCTCTTTCATAAAATCTGAAAATATAACGCACATTTAGATTAGGTAGGCTACGTCACAAATTCGAAACAGCCAAGGCAAATGCCCACACATTACCACAGGTAAATAGGCCCACACATTACCACAGGTAAATAGGCCCACAGGAAGAAGGAGTTAGCATTTGCATAGTGACAGTTTTTTGACAGCTAACATGTTAGAGTGTAGAGTTTGTGCATGTTAACAAGAACCTGCGCTTCCTCCACTAATCTACCAAAAGCTCTTTCCAGAAATGTTTGCATATTTGACAACCGCTAATGCTCTGTCAGCCATTGCCAGTTACATGTTAACAAGCTAACCAACAACGTAAAAAAATGTAAGATGCTAACAACACTTACCTTTCTGATACGTCTGCTAGTCGCCGATTTTGGTGCCCAAAAATGTATGAGTCAAACATGTTTGGGTGAATATATCCGTTGTTTCCTCTAAACATGAAAATAGGCCAGGCTCCGAAAATACTACGAAGGACCCCCGCGCGGCGTGGCCTGGCGCGTGAGCGGGGCTAGTTCGGATGGGTTCGGATCCATAATTTTGATAACAAAAGCATCGATTTTTCAGATATTGTTTGTTTGTTACTTTGTAAGTGGGAAACTTATGTTTAAAATATATCGATAAGAACATATATCTTACATTCTTCAAACAATTTCCGGGAGGCTTAAAATAAGAGACCTGATAGGCTACTTTTTCCACCTATAGCTATTTCATTACATTTTATTAGCATTTTTGTCCTCGACAGGTGTGAGTCTTGGAATCTGATGCGACATGCCAGTGATGTCACTGAAGCAATATTTGACGCTGACATTAACAAGCTCTCCTGCTCGCCGATGCTATGCTGCATTCCTTTCAAGGTCAGTCATTGGAAGTTCCCAAATGAAATGTCTGACCTCCGACCCTTCTGGTTTAGTGCTGGGAGAAAAATAACTAAATGTAGGTAATAAGAGAAGTGGGCGTTACACCAAGTTTATTTACGGGTTCTTTGTGGTTAAGTTTAAAAAATCTTGGTCAGTCTAAATGCTGACACATGCGAGACTCCAGGAAATAGTTTATACCATTTGGGTCTTATTTGTATACATTTGACTAACAAGTTTCAACTATAAAGTTTGTAAGAATACAAAAATATATATTATTGTGTAATGCTCCTCATGCAACAACATTATTTGGTAATCCATTGCAAATATTTTCTACCATGAAATAATTCTGCAAGAACACCGATGTACAGTAAACGGACCTTGAAATGTACATTTCTTATTATGAAGGCTACATTTATTTTGTAACAGAAGAGTTCATGGGAGAAGAAATAGTATTGTCAGGCAGCGGGTCATTTCCCAAGACAGCCTGCAGACTCTGTTTAATGAATACAAACATCAGATTTTAAAAGTTTATTTTAAGCTTATGCTTTAATATCTGGTTGATTTGATTACATAATATTAATGTAAAAAAGAAACTATCATTATGACACTGGGAGTATTATGAAAAAGAGTTACCTAAAGTATGGAAAGTAAAGATACTCATTCTTCAGAAAGATGTTGCCAATCAGTGTTTCACAATTACCATTACTGCTGCACAAAGGGTCTTTGATTTTATGGTCTTATAAGATAAAGATTTTGCACAGTTTAGCTCCTTTATGCATTGTTTAATCTACAGACATGCATGATATTCTATAAGATCCTCATGTTAGCAGCAGGGTTGCTGTCCTGTGACTGTGAGAACCATGATTCTCTAAAGATTTATCTTCTCAGTATAACCCAAAATAAACCGCCCTGTTTTCAGCGTATGATGCATTTTCCAGCTAGCCAATTCATTTTTAAATAGTTTATTTAGCTGACAAAGTAAGACAAACTCATAAAGGAACACATTATCTTTCAGTTCATCATAACAGTTTACAAAGCTCTGTGCAAATGTAAAATAATTTATGATTATTTGATGAGTTAGATTAGAAGCATTATGCACTACTACAATACATTTGTACTTGAAGTACATTAATTGAATAAATGCATTTTGGTTACATTCCACCACTGTTAGACCTCTGTTTCCCCTGCAGGTAATGAAGCACTCACATGTTTATTACAGGTTCCAGATCTGGAATTAAACCATCGAGCAGCATTATGAGGATATCCAGGAGGAAGTATAAACATCCTGGCACCGTTTAAAACAAATAAAGCATACCTCTGCTCTGCGTCAATCATACAGCAGGCTTAGCCAAATCCATTTTAAGACTTTATTGCTCCTAAAATGCAATGAAGAAAATATCTGGCAAGGATAATTAAGGAATAGACAAATGGAACATTAGAGCTTCTTTTATTATTATTATCAAGAATGAGAGCACAACCTTCAATTATAATCCCAGCTCAGTGTTTATCAGCATAAATAAATACAAGTAAAAAATAAATAGGCTATTAAATACAGTATAAAACAACAGGCAAAAAAAAGGAAGGAATTTGATGAAGGAACTCTCAAAATGTTAGGAGACTTTGGAAAGTGAAAAATAATCAGTTTGGGTATATGGTAAAAAGTAAAATCATACAAAATGTAATTGCAACCAGTAAACCAGACATTAAAAAAAACAAGAAAAAAATCCCTTTTCCAAAGATGGGTCTATCAGCTACAATTGAATCATGGATACATTTGAAAACACAGTAAAAATTCAAGTAAAGGAAGGTGTACATCAGTCACACAATGATTTGCAGTCATCAATTAAGAGCACTAGGGAAACCGTCCACTATACACTGAGAGAGAGTCGCCTCATTCAAAGGTGACGGAAGCAAACTCCCACTAATGTTACAAAAACAGGCACTTCAAGAATGTCTTTGAATGTATAGAGCGAGCTTGGCATTTAATTGTCAAAAGCATATAGTTTCATCCCATCAACATGTCCCACGGAAATATAATTGGATATTTTTCCACAAATTAATATGAGACGTTGAAATTGCAAACCATTCTGTTATTAAGTATGAAATCATCTCAACCACAACTCCTCATTACATTTTTTCCAGTGGCATTGCATTTTCTTTTTGCAAACTTTACCCTCTACCTCTTCATAACCGGCACGCTACAAACTGATGGATTGCTATTTTCATGGTTTTATACCATTTTTTTAAATTTATTTTTTTTGGGATTTTGTGTTTGTATTCGCCCTTTAAACTCTAACTAAGAAGAACCAAGACAGTGAGATTTCTGATCCAAGTGCTACATAAAATATTATAATCCCAATGTTTGGTAATCTGTACATAACGAGTACCTCAAATATATCTTCTTCTTTTCATAACACATTACTGTACATATATGTTTATAGCTTAATAACACAAAGCCAGCAGAAGGCCAGTAACAACAGCAAGTCCATCTGTGTTTATAAACCTAAGCAGCACCGTCTCTTTAACTTGGCCAGCTCAAGCCCATTTCAGCCCTCCCGACGCTCCGTCCTCATTGGTCTTACAGGAAATGGACCAAAGTGCCAATTAAAAGGGAGACGCCATGACATCAGCCCCAACCGCAACCTGAGCATGGGCTGGGCTCCACTGCTCACACACCATCACACTTACTGTGCTTCCCTTGTTTGTTTCAAGCTGAACACAACAAGCTCAGGGTGCAATTTTATCCGTTCCCAGAACTCGCTTAATTGTTGATCTTTATGAAGCAGGAATGCGAAAATGAAGGAGGGAAAATAAATGTATGAGCAATGAATTGTGACTGTACAGAAGATGTGTATAGTAAAAATAGATATCTAAATATACAGAGTCTACGTGATACATCTATTGTTGTATATTTGCTCCATTCCCGCGTGGATAAGATGAGGAAATAAAAAATGTACAGTAAGTCAGTCTGATTTAGTCGGCCTCATTGGATGGCAAAGTTCTCTTGGTCCTGCTGATCCGAGGCCGCGCCTGCAGAGTCGCTCCAGCTCAGCTTAGAGTTCAAAAGGCTGCCGGCTTCAGTGCCCGAGTTTATTCCCTTTATGTTGTCAGGATCACACTGCAAAGACGCTCAGGGTGCTGGTCTGGTCCTTTAAACCCAAGATGCTGTAGGCGATTCTTTTCAAATGGCCAGGCAGCCTCACCCCCATGTTCTTGATATCCCTGTAAAAAAAAGAGACGTGACAGGATATAAGAAGAGCTGCACATGGATTTACACCTTGGACTCGTTCCAACACATTTCAAGCACATCCTTCCTGCCTATCAGGTCTTAGCAATCATCCAATATGCTGAAATACAAGCCTCGAGCTCCACGGCTGAACCAGCACAGCAAGGTGGGGGTGAGCTTCAAGTCTGCAGAGGTTACGATTTATCTTCGACATTAAAAGGATAAGAACTGGGGGGTTTCGCCCTTCACGAGGCACATGATGCAAACCTGCAAAAGCTCTGAAACTCAGCAGCAGCAAAGTCAAAGCCTTAATTACAGCCTTAATTACTTAACAAGGATTCTCCCTGTTGACCATGATCACTCGTCTGGCAAGCAGAGGGTGGCTCGTAAATAACTGCTGGTTTTTCCAAGAGTGCTACCAGATGCCCTGAGATGGAAACATGGGGCCATGAAATCACACCATTCTGTATGACAAATACTTCAAAGGGATTTGTCGTCTGCTTTACAGTCTGCCCCATCTTCCAAAATGACGCCCAAGACCGACTGAGATACGTATACCATGGCAGAAGAGGGGGGTCATGCGGTTAGGAAAACCTCTGGCCTTCATTATTGCCCCAAAACAACCGTATACTATGTGCCTCACTAAGCTCTTTTTTTTCAAAAAGGTTGAGCCCAATTTATTAAATTGCCGCCTTAGCGCTCTTGCACATCTGAGAAGATCCAATTGCCTTAAAGAAGCCTGGGATAAGTTCATGGGGTACGCTCTGAGCGCACCTCTTCAATCTTAGAAGTGCAGATGTTCCGGCTATGGGGCTTCAAATCTCATCCATCTATTTCAGTTTCTTAATCCCACCTAGCTGCCCCTGCTCCACAGGCTATCATCTCCTCTTTCTCCCCTCCTTAAATGTTGAAGAAACCACGAAAAGGCCTTTGCCCTAACTGGTGTTTTTTTGTGGGCTTAAGCAAAAGTGATGCACAGGGCAGCTAGTGTGTGTGTGGGGGTGAAGGGAGGGATAAGAGGAAAGAAGAATAAGGACTGCAGCGACCACAGGCAACCACCACCGGCTTACCACAAATGAGCCCACTCCTTCTCCTTCCTTCCATTACTTTTTCCATGCAAACATTTCTCAAGTTGTAACTGAGGTTTGACATTATATTGCGCGCAAACTATTCTGTTGGCTGTTAAAGTGCAGAGAATTGTAGGAAAACAAATACATAAACTTCTAGAGGGGAAGTCCATAACAGACTTTGTGGTGTTGGAAATCATTCATGCCATAATTTGACAACAAAATATTGCTCTTCCCTGCCAAAAACATACTTAACAAGTATATAAAATAAATACATCAG